ACACTCACAGAAACAGAGTAAGATTCAGGTAACAGATCACATGCATTTCAATCAACTATAAATTAAAATAAGTACTAAGCAAGAACAACTTCCTGTTGCACAATTCTAGTTTAAGGAAAAAAAACCAACAGACACAAGAGCCACCTGAACACTTTCTCCTTCCAATTTGGCTCTGCCCTACTTTAAAAGATGCAAACAATCCACTTTGGTAACTTCTGTAAGAAAAAGCAGCAACTTCAAGAAACAAATCTGATCAAAAGATAAGATGCAAGCAGTGTCCTGAAGCTGCACGTTATTGATGCCATTGTAATAAAACAGCAGGAACATTAAATTAAGCCCAAGTGACCTAAGGATGCTAAGTATAGCCTCTTTAAGTTGATTTAAATGTCACAAATTCTACTGCTCAACGGATCATTCAAAAGTTACCTTGCTTAGACACAAATACAGCATAAAGCAGAATTGTCTGCAAAATCTGATTGCTGCAATTTCTTGTGTTCATTATCAACTATTTCTGTCCCACAGCAACTGGTACACAGTGAGAACTTCCCTATTAAAACACGACCTGTTCAAGCTACAGAAATAATCCCAAATGTAGCAAAGGAATTTCTGTGAGAGGAAAAAACTGAAGGGACTTTGCAGTTCTACAAACAACACACACCAACACATGTACTTCTCATGCTGCAATACTTATGTCTTTTAGGCTACTGACATGCAGCTCTAACACTCATACGACATTAGCAACTATTTGGCAATGCCAAAACCAAAGCCCATTGCTCAGACAGGTGCAGTTCAAAGCAACCTTTTTAAAGTTCTGGATGGATCTTTTGTGAAATGCTACAAATTAACCTCATTCGTTTTTCACCTGGTTAAAACAGTCACAGGAAAGAGCAGTGGTTTCTTCAAATCCTAAATAACAAAAGGGACATAAGGGGATTTTGCTTTTTTAGTTCTTTCGATTTTATTTTTTTTAATTTATTTTCTTTTTTTAAAAAGCTCAGTTTAAATATTCATGATTAAGCATCACTGATTTCTTAAGCCCAGATGCTAAACAGCTTTTAGTTAATTTATTTACTTTTAAGAAATTCAGTCCCAAAAACAAAGCAGACATGGATAATTTCGATGAGGATTCTGCAGTCACAACGCAGTCCTCCCCACAGCAGAAATCACAGCTATAAGAATCACACGTGCTTCACAAGGCAGAAAAACTCGTTGGCTTTAGAAATAACTGCAAAGCAATCATCAAATTTTTTGGAGTTAACATTCAGGATTACTTTTCAAAGCAGTTGTTTTACCTTTTGATATTTGTTCGGGAGTTTCTGTGGGACATGTAAGTAAGAGTTCTGTGCAAAAATATCGGCTGCAGGAAAAGAAATGAGAAAGGTTAAATGCTTTATTAGCTTGCCACAAGTCCAAAATAAAAGTGATAAAAACCCGATTACTCACTGCTATGAGATTCCGGGTCCGTAGAAATCTGTATATCTGTGTTGGTTCTGAGAAAAAGAAACAGGTATTATCCACCATGCCTTAAACCTCTACTACAACAGCCTTTAACGATGCGACAGTATCCCACTTAACACATTATTTGTTCTTAACGATGATCACAGAAGTGGCAGTTTAAGCACTGCATCACCATGTCTAAATAACTCCGAGTAAACAAGTCATTATTCTACCTACTGTAAAACACAAAGTGCCTCCTTGTTTAAGCTACCAGAAACCCTTAGCAACGACTCGCAACTACGACTGCTCCTTCTCTGCAGAACTCGCTTCTTACAGACTTTACATCATAGGAAGGCAGAAAGAAGGACCCAAACATAGAGCAATTTGTTGCTGAAGAGGTAAGTTTTCTTTGCCGAGTTAATGATCATGTCTCATTTTTCATCCTGGCCAATGCACTGAGGTCACTCGCACAAGGTACCAAAACAAGAGCAGGGAGTGACCACTGACAGTGATGCATTACAGATCGTTTAAACGAAGAAATTAACTTCAAAAACCTTAAATACGAATTGAGCCAGAAAAATGTTGGTTCTGGTAAAGCAGTTACTGTTCCAGAGTGACTGATGGGTAACAGAGCTGTACTCCACACTGACGTGACAGTGCAGCACCATCTAAAACAGATCTAACAACCGAAGTTCAGAAGAGCAACACTTGCTTACAGAAAAGGAAACCTACGGTTAAGTTTTAACCAATTAAGTTAGATCGGGATGAAAAGGTTTGCATCAGGTTATATCTTAAAAATTTAAACTAAATTGAAAAGTACTCATTTTAGAATGAAATGGAAGTCACCTTCATTAGGTAACGTCAGCAGGAAGCGTGGAAGCGACTTGTAAAACAAATGGAGAGCAGGAGGCAGAGAGCAGCAAATGCCTGCATGCCTGTGCTAAGGCTGCTAGCAATGCAACTGCTTCCCATGTAACAGAACCAAACAAACATAGATATATACATACAGAAACAGTATCTCACTCTTCAACTACTGCCAAGGTCTTATTTTTAATCGCTGAAAACCTGGTTTTGATTTACAGAATTTTGATATTAGAAGTGAAAAAGGCGAGCATCATGTGATCCTCATCCATTTTTAGATATGTTTGAGCCTCATTTCTACATACGTGAACATAAGACCCCAAACAACCAATCATTAGAGAGGTGCATTATTATTGAGAAGGAAATCGTACAACAATCTCAGTATTTTAGAAGTCCAATGAAAACCAGTAGAATTGGATTTAAAGCAAAGTAGAAACTAACATCATCATGACATTTGTATTTTGCAAGATAGTAAAAGAGGACATTAAATGGAAAGAACAGAAAGGAACCATCCGCTTCAGCTGAAAGTGAAAACACTGAGCAGCCACAGCTTTGAAAGAAGCACCTTAATTTAGTTCTTAGTCTCCAAAAAAATTGGTGATATCATTTAGAAAGGTACAAAAACATCAAATTGCATTCATGACAATGTGTGTTAATTAAAAGACAGTGTGCTGCTGCTTCAACTTCAGCCTTCCAACCAGGAAAAGTCCATGCCACGCTTCTCACCCTGCTAGCAGACATGTGTTTCAGAAGTCCATACTTCTCAGCAAAAGCCTAAAATAAATCTTTATCTTTTTCCAGCACGTGACCTCGCAAAGGGACAAAAACGCTCAACCCGAATGTGATTCAATGCCACGTCTGTCAGGATTTCTTAACCCACAATTTACTTCCTGCAGGTTCTCCACGACATCCACAGCACAGCATTAACCCACTGCGACACAGCCCGGCCCCACCTGCACCGCTCCTTTCTCTGCTGACAGATGGGGGAGAAAAGTGACATCGTCCCCCAAACCTCTGACACAGCTCACACCTCCCGCCTGCAGCCCGACCTATTTGCAGCAAGGCACTCATCGATCATACAGCTCCTTTACTAAGAGTGAGGTTGAAAGGATGCGGCGTGAGGAAGGCTTTGATACAACACCAGAATCTCCAGCGCTTTATCAAACGCTGTCACTGTCTGTAGCAAGCAAGTGCGGGCGGTGACAGCACCGATCCCAGAACCTCATCACGCATTTAGTGGGACACTGAAAACTTCCTTCCGCTCCTGCCCCGGGAATCACGCAGCACACCGCACGCTTATTGCCGCTCTAAGCTTTTCAATCAGATTGCCGTAAATAACTTTCCGGTGCTTCCAAGGGGAATCCTCCTCCTCCTCCTCCTCCTCTCTCCCACCGCTGCCGCAGGGTGATGCCCGGCTCCCGAAGGTCGATTTCTAACACGCGATCCCGATCGGGGGACAGCGGTTACCAGACAAAGAGACGCCCCGTTCAGCGGCACGGCGCACCATCCGTCGCCCCGCGCCCGTTCGGAGGCCCGCGAAGCCTCGGGGGGCGCCGGCCCCGCTCAGCCCCCGCCGCCCCGAGCGGAGGAAACCCGGCAGCCGCACCGGCCCCAAGTTCCCGGCCCCGTCGCTCGGCTCCCGGCCCCGCGCTTCCGCCCGAGCCCCGCTGGGCCCCCCGCCTCCCCCGGCAGAGCCCCCCTCCCTCCCCCAAGCGTGTTTACCCCCGGAAGCCCCTCAGCCCTCCCCTCCTCCTCCTCCTCCCGCCCTTTCTGCCGCGGCCCCGGCCCCGCTCCCGCCCCCGGCCCGGTGCTCACTCTCGAAGGCCTGAAGAAAGAGCTCGTGGTCGGCCTGGATCTGCTCCATCTTCGGCTTCTTCACGGGGGGCAGCGCGGCCGTCGTCGCCGCTGCCGCCGAGGAGGCCGAGGAACCGCCCGAGTAACCGCTTCCTCCGCCGCTGCCGCCTCCTCCCGCCGCCCCACCGGATTTACCGGCCGGAGCCGCCGCCGCGGCGGAGCCCACGAACCCTCCGCCTCCACTGCCGCCGCTGCCGCCGCCGCCGCCGCCGCAGCCACCAGCAGCAGCAGCAGCACCACCGCCGCCGCCACCGCCGCCGCCGCCGCCGCCACCTCCTCCTCCTCCTCCTCCTCCTCCTCCGCCGCCGCCGCCTCCACCTCCTCCTCCGGCCGCGCAGCCGGCAGAGCCCGAGCTGGGCCCCGCGCCGCCACCGTGCTTCTGAGGAGCCATGGGCCCGGCCCCGAGAGCGCCCCGGCGGGACGGAGACCGAGCGGGGAGGGAGGGAGGGGGCGGCCGGGGCGGGTGGGCGAGGAGGGGGGAGGGGAAGCGCCGAGCTCCAACTCCTCTAAGTCTCCTCCGCTCCGCTCTCCTCAGCGCTACGACCAGCCGAACCCGACGACCACGACGCGCCCGCCTCCGCCACTCTCCCATTGGCTCCGAAGATGGCGCCGCAGCGCCCAATTGGCTGGCGCCGGGCCCGCCCCCGCGTGACGCACGGATGGTTCTGGAAGAGTTTGGTTGGTCGGTGCGGCTCGCCGCTTGGCGCTTCTCCCCTCCCCCTCCTTTGAACTGAATTCGCGGGAAAGGGCCGCTCGCCCTTCGGCGCGGGGCACGCTGGGTAAAGCGGGCCGCCTCCGCCTGGCGCCCGCCCCGCCGCCCGGCCCTCAGCGTTGCACCGCGGTTCCGGCGCTCGGCTGGGCGCTCCGTTCTTGCTATGCTTCCGCGGCCGCTCGGGGTGCCACTGCCCCGTTCACATGAGGCGACCCGCCGCAGCCCTGAGGAGCCGGCTCGGTCCGAGCCTCCCGTCTGGTGACAGCCGGCATCGCTTCATGTGGTAAAAGTGGCCGCGCTGCGTCGGAGCGGAGGTGTGGCTGCTGCGGAACCTTCACCCTCAGCCCTGGGGTTCCTTCAGAGGGGAGGAGGCGCGGGGTGAACGAGGCTGAGGCAAAACGTCTGCCTGGCGCCCTCCAAACCGCTCAGCGGCGCGCGGCCAGCAGAGGGGCTGTCCCACGGGCACGGCTGCCCCGTCCCACCGGGCCGGCTGTCCCCGCCGCTCCCTTTGCTCTCCGCAGAACTTTCCCGCCCACGTGCGAAGCGCGGCGCTCTGAAGTGATGACGGGCGGGAAGCGAAGCTCGGCCGGGGCCGGGGCCGGTGGTGCTGTAACTGCCTCACGTTATCGGCGGGGCTCTCAGCTGACGTTTGTCGCTCGTCTGTGCTTTAATGAAATGTCGGTACGCGTACCCACACACACGTGGGTAGCTGTCGTTATTGGCTATTTATGTTCCTTTTGCGCTCTATCTTGCGTAGTTTTGCTTGTTGTACTTGAATATTTATTGTATATGTCTCTAATTAACTCTTGCTTATTTTTTTGTCTGCTACTCAAAATTTACATTTTGAGTTTTTTATATATATATCTGCACTAATTTCTGTGCACTTCTTTAAGTTCATCTTTGCCACCTTTTCACCTACATTCTCCCTTTTTTTGTACCTCCAAAAAAGTTATATTTATTAAAGATTACGTTACACACCTTATCCTGTTCATCACAGTCTTTGCTTAGTATTGCAGTTTCTTAGTCACACAGTCATTAAGGTTGGAAAAGACCACTAAGATGGTCCATTGCAACCACAGTGTGTTCCCTAAGGTTCCCTGCGCTCCCCAGCCTGTTCATTGCTGCTGCTGAATGTACCCTCAGTCACCTTCTAGGCAGCAGTAAGCTCCTCAGAAATGTACATGTAGCTTCTCTCATAACACCAGGGGACTTCTTGCTAATGCTGGTGTTGCACTGGGTGTCTGCCAGTCTTCTGTCGGCATAAATAGCCACAGAGCATCTCCAGGTGATCAAAGGCTGATCTTGAGGCCAGTGATGCACTGTGGCAGTCAACTTGGCGAGAGAAAGACTCCTGAATGTTGTGTATCTACAGCTGTTCCTGGAAGTTGTTCACTGCCTGTCATCTGTCCGTGTTTCCTGCCTGCTGTTTATGTGCCTCTGCTGCTTCTGGTGGTGCATCCTTCTCAATTTCAGAACCAGGAGGAGGAGCCAGAGGGCAACTTTCCAGACGGGAGTAAAAAAAGATAATTAGGTAATTAATCTCTGGTGCTGGACTGAGACCCGCCTGCGAAAAGAGAAACTTAAGCATGAGGCATTAGCCTTGGGTGTGGTGGGACAGTGCAACAAAGTTGTATATGAGTGAGCCCTGTGGAGTCATAGCAGTGATTGCCAAATTGAAAAGTTTTAGTCGTTTGAGCTTCTTTTTCTTGGTTTGTAAAATACTCCTTTTCAGAAGCAAAAGGCTGTATTTAGCAAATGACTGCAAAGTCAGCAAAAGCATTTGTTATAAATAAGAAGATATCCTAATATAATGCAAAAGAAAAAAAAGGCCAGTTTCAGAAGGCTAATGTGATAAATTAAAGCAACAGTCATTTGCAAACAAGGTGTGTTCTTGGGCTAAATGTCTGGTAGTGAAAGCAGAAACAGTTGGCAGAATGTTTTCATGATATGTCAGAGTTCATGGCTCAGAATGGCCAATCCTGTCATATTTTCCTGTACCAAAACTGGGATTTGCATTTTGTATCTGAAAGATCACATTTGTTTTCGGCTGATTGAATGCATATGCTACTTCTAAATCTTTTTCATAAGATTTACTGCCATGTACTTACATAGCATTCCTGTCATTCCAAAAGGCTGAAGTGCACCAATTTTATACCAATAGAGTACCTCTTCAGATATGTAGGAAAACAACCACACATGGGCTATTTCACTTCAGGATTTTTTTCTTTATTTCATAGTTACATGCTTTTCTTGCTTGTCTGTAATAATTCTACTGTTCTCCCTACATCTTTAAACCTGTCCATCTAGAAATGGGTAGAAATGAACAGATACAATCACACAGGTGGCTGTGAGCCCTGCAGAAGAGCCCTGTCATTAAAGCAAATACACACGGTCAGAGTTACTACTACGTATCTGTTTCTCTTTCCTGATAATTTTACATATAAATTTGGAACAAAAGAATAGTGCTGAATATAAACTTACTGTCAAGCATTAAACTTTTGCTTACTGATTCAGGCCATCATGTAAGCCACTGCCAGTATTCATTAGGGAGTGCTACGACGTCTCACTGGTACGGAACTGAAACTTGCCACGCAGGGTGTTGCTGAGAATAACAAATCCAGAGTGTTCTGGGCAGCTGTGTTTCAATCCCATGTAATCGTGATCATGTTGACTGCAATTCAAGGGCATTCAGCTCCTCTTCTGTACCTGCATTCTTTATGCTTTCAGGTTCTACTTACTGTCTCACTGTTCAGCCCACCAAGACCCACTAGAAGTGAGCATCAAAATTAAAACTAGTACATTTGGAAGGTATAGGTCCTGCTGCTGATTTGCTGTGCTCCAAAATACAGATCTGTTTCACTGGCATTTCTTTCTTCCTTTTTCTTTCCCTTAAGCCTCTCAAGTGAGTTTTGCTAGATGCAGAAGTTTCACCTGCAGTAGTTGTTAATTCATTCTTCAGTTCATGTTCTTTATCTTCAGTCTGATACACATTTGATTAGCAATAACAGGCCACAGATATAATTAGATAAACTAATCTTCACTATGTACTTGGAAAGCAGAACTCAACTCCCACACAGTGCTCTCCCTGTCTCTTGTGGACGGTGAAAGGGTAGGTGATATTTCAACTAGAGGAAGAGAGTTGCTCCAGCCCTCTGGGTAATGGTGTGAGAATGGGTAGGCGGGGTGCAGAGTATATTTAGGATGGCAGGATCATATTGCAGTTGGGGTGGTGGCTGGGAGTTTGCTTTCCTGCATGTTAATGTCTAGTGCTGCCCTGTCTTTGTAAGCAGAGAACTAAGAAAAAAGAAAATGAACTTTACTGTAAGGGAAAATCTTTACTGAAGCGTGGCAAAAAGAAGAACTAAGATCTTACATAGCAATCCCAGTATTCTAATGTATAGCTATGAATGCAGCATGCAGGAAGATTGGCAGAGCAGCCACTTGTGATTCTCATTCACGTGTTTGGCTGAGGACTGCTTTTGTACAGAGCTGTTCAAATGTATTCCAGGAGCACAGTGCTCAGGCAGCCGGGCCCTGGGGGAATCTGAAGGCACCCATAATGCCCAGCTTGCAGTCAGCAGGTTGCTTACTTGTCTCGAGTTATTGAAGAGCACGAGAAGTGAATGCACACCATGTTTCACACACTAGGTCTCTTACCTTTGGAATTCCTACTATGAAAAACGAGTGATAATTGTTGTTCCTTATTGCTAAGTAGCAATGCGTGCTCAGGACTTGTTTCTCAGAGTTCTCTTAGTGATATTTTAATACAGTTTTAATGATTCACCCACCGAGAAATTTATTTCTTGATTCTCAGATAATTATTTGGTTTTGCTTGATGAGTTTTTAACAGTAATGTGTTTCTTCAGAGTTTAGATACTGGACTATAAAAACTACAAGAATTGTTACAAAAGCATTGCGAAAAGCACAGCTCCAGTTTATTATTTTGGTCTAGAAAGGTAGGAGACCTCTTAGGATAATTTAACTGTAATTATTTAAGTATTTAACTGTAAGCCCACAAATCCAATAACAGCAGAAGCGTTCATTACCAAAAAAATCACAAATGTGAAGCTTATCTAAACTTTTAATGGAAAAGTGAGTGTGTTATCAGAGCTTTGACGTGTAGGGCTTGCTTCAGATGGCATCTATAAGAATTTACTTTGTTTTTTGAACACTGCTCAAGATTGCTTATACTGTAGTCTGTAATGTGAATTAACCATACTTGCAGAAATAGTTTTACTGGCTGTTGCTAGGACTGTGGTGGAAGCAGTTTCACCATGCTAAATAAAGCTCCACATGAGGAGATGAGAAACACAGCAGGAGGCAAATTGTGACCAACAATGATAAACCGCCAATCCTAATCCCACTTTTTGGATGGAGAAACAAATCTTTATCTGGCATAATTTATGCTCTTTGGTATGTCATCTTCATTGACTCTTTCAATGTAAAAGATCAAGACTTCTCTAAGGAAATTCTGTATTTATTTGCCTTGTCTTTTGTTGTTGTTGTTATTGTTTTTTTCATGTGTCACCCAAAACTATGGCACAATTTTACCTTTTTGAACCTAAACAGACCTGGGATATGAAGATTAGCAAGACTCCACTCTTTAGAGCTCTTGCAAAACTACTAAATAAAAATGTGTGTGCAAGAAATAATATTAAATGAGAGCTCATTAAGCAATACATGTCACAGTGCTGACAGTTTGGGAGTATGTAGGAGATGATTGATATAGTTTTAAATTGTTAAAATATGACTGGCATTCGGCTTGATTATGAAGTATCAGCCAGAATACCATGGCTGACTCGTTCTAACTGCCCTGCTGCATTTAGACAGACTGTCACCTACTTACTAAGCAGCCAAATGACAACATCAAATTAAAAGGTGGACTCACAGCCACTACTGTACCAAGCCCCTAGAGACTCTGAATAAACAGATGGATCTTGGATCCAAGTACCAGGTGTGAACTGGCAGCAATTCCAGAGGCATAATTCCTCTTCACTGAAAAGTCCCTCTATACAAGTTTGGATATTGGGGTAACTGAGGAGAAACAGGATGCCTGAAAATGAGCAGGGAGAAAACGGACTCATAAAAATTAGCTCACAGCTAACACAGAAAAGAAAGGTTTTGCCTTTTTTTTGAAGAGACTGTATGTAAGAGTAAATTGTCAGATAATAGTTCTGCTTAGACACTGAATGAAAATGTTTATCATTCCTAAAAACAGCTGAAGAGATGAGTGAACAAATTCTAGGAAGCATTCAAATCTAATGCTGCAGTCAGTAAGCTGCAAGAATAAAGCTGTGCATTGATACAGTTTTTGATTCCAGTTTTGGCAGATGCAAGCCAAACAATCATATAAATTCTTTTAATTACAATACTAGTGAAATTAATGTAGTTCAAAGTTTGTGACAGTCTATTTCTAGAGTGAAATCCATACTGTCTCATTAACAGATGTGTTCAGGATGAACTGCCAACTCAACTGAAATCAATGTGAACTTCCCATTTACTTTCATGATGTCAGGACATCACTGACAGTGTTTGAAAGTCATCTTCATGTACTATTAATTAACTGTAAAATAATAAGTATCTTGGTGACATCTTTTAACTGTAATTGTGAGTTAGTGAAACAGCAGAAATAGGTGATGTATCGACACCAATGTATCATTTAAATATTTGCCTACTGCACATTAACGATCGTGCACTTTACTACAGGTAAGCTAAAGCACTTTTTCTGTTGCTAATTCATAATGTATCTGTTTTTGCAGACTGTGATCTATAAATGTTAGGCTGTGACAGCCTGCCAGAACTTCTCATGCAGCACCTACTGATTGGAGTTTTGTAAAGAAGCTTCACAAAAGCAGAAGCAGCAGAAGATGGAGTCACCCTACAGGTGCACGCTGCAGCAGTTCTCCCTTCAGTCTTCCCAACAGGATTTGTGAGAGGCTGTACCTCAACATCTTTATTGGTAATGGATCCTTCCCTTAATTTGCTGTGATGCATTTGGAATGTCAGCTTCTAAAACAAGGCACATGGGAGGCATCTAAAGTAGATTTTTTGAAAGGAAAATGAACAAAGAGCATGTCAGGTTCCATTTTGATTTGCATGACAAATCCAGCATGCAGCATTCGGGAGGGCTGGGCTGGGCTTGCCTGCCACTCACTGCATTTGTCACTTTGGTTTGAACACTTTTGACAGTCTGTAATGTTAATTGTTCTAAGGATTGTTTTGCTGGAAGAAGAAAAGGAAAGGATTTTGGTTCTTGTTCTACTTTTTCCATGTACAGGAAAGGAGGGATATCTGAGGAAGCAGAAAATGATTTCAAACTGGGTTTGATCTGTTTGTAAGTAATCCTGTGAGTTCATCAATAAGTTCAGTACTTTAAATGTTATTGTGTACGTGTGTTTTGAGAAATACTAGGCCCCTAAACTAGTAACCTGGGGAGTCTATTGTTTTGGTGCACACCATTCTTTCTTCCTTTAAGTCCCACAGAGATGGGTCCTGCAGAGCGGTTTGTACTATGCCTGTGTGCTTCTATCTGATGATATTGTGGTGCTTTGACAAGTGCTAAGAAGGAATTTAATGCCCTAAGAAGCACTGGTGGACACACATTGTTACTGGTGAGTGGATGGCATGTGAATAGCTCCCAAGTATGTCAAAGACCTGTTGGTAGATAAGAGCATGTGACTGAATTTCCAGGAGACAGAATCGGAGGTGGATGCTGTTGGTATAAAGGTGTAACATCTATATGAAAACAGCTGTGCATTGATCAGTGATGTTTTTTGAATTTTAGAGTTCCTAGCTGTGTTAGCAAAACAGTGCATGTTGATCACAAAAATGTTTTCAAACTAAGAAACGATCAGCTGTGAAGTTTCAGGAGAAGACCGTTTTGTTTCTGTTTGTGTCTGTTTGCATTTAGTGCTGGTTTTCAGCCAAATGAGAGCCTTAAAGAACGGAGAGAGGAAGAAGACAATGTCCCACAAGTTTCCAGGTAACAACTGACATCTAATTCTAAGATTTGAGGTGCTACACTGCATATGGTGTTCTTATTTATGTTGTGAACTAAGTGCACCATCACATTTAAGCTCTAAACACAAAAGGCTTCAGTAAAGTAAAATCATGCAATCACTTGCAGAAATATCAAAATAAATGAAGGTATACAATCAAGCATAGTGATTCCAATCATATTCTGGCTTAGTCATTCAGTATGCTAACAGAGCTTCACTCTTCATGCCCAAACTTCCTTAAAGACTATTTTAATAAGTCTGTGGAGTTACATGAGGGTCACTTTGAGCTGATGCATCTCAAAAACAAAAATCAAACCCCAGGTAATTTAGAAGTGTTATTGATGATCATGAATCATATTCTTACAGCACTGCTTTGAGAATGGTTAAACTGTTGTGCTGCTTCAGTGAATGCTGAACTCAGTGGGACTTGCAGGTACTAAATTTAGCTCCAGAGAGCTTGATGGCTTTGCCTTATGAGCCAGGATTGCTCACACAGGATGGCTGTGCCCATCACCCCTCCTGCTGTCCTCACAGTGGGAAGTTCCTCCTCCTACTACAGAGCTGGCAGCTGCTGAATTTTACAGATACTCTTGTGATTTGAAAATGCAAACTGAGAGTTTTGTAACATACAGAACCATAGCTAGTGACAGCTCAGTGTAAGACATGGGGATCTCCAGTGCTGACAGCTTGCATCTGGAACTGCCATTGTTGCTACAGGGAAAGCAGTGCCATGATTCAGAGCTGCCCCAGCCACGAGGACCTGACCTCAGTAGTTTGTAGGTCTTGGCCTTGTGACTGGATGCTGCCTCTGCATTTCCTGGTAGCCTTCCTGTCTGATTGCTTCGTGGAAAACAGTGCCACTATTTCCTGTTGTTTGGAAGTTATCGAGCTTCTCCCATGAAGAACTTGGTTTTTTTCCTTTCAAATTAGCACCCAATATTAAACAAACATGAGAAGGTAAAAAAAAATTGCCACTGAACTTGATAGTTCCTGCAGTGTTTCATTTGCGTTTTTAACATAAGTCAATTGCTCTGCAGTCAGTAACACTTCTTAGGACATCCTACTTTACCTAAAGATAACCTACACCTTTTTTTTGGCTATAGTACGTGAAAACTGTTGTGGCAGAAACCCTCCTGTTCCTTAGGTCCCTTTGCCCATCGTGTCTTCCCCTTTTTCTTGCCTTTTCAGACAAACACCTCCTGCTTTTTCATCTATTTTACAAGCAACAGGGCAGAACGCAGCTGTGAAGGTGCCAACTCATAGCGTACGGGCAGTGCTACTGATGGCAGGTATTATAAAAAGACCACCCTTCTGTCTTCACTTAGTTGTTTCCCTGGGATGTCCAACATCTAAGAAACAAACACGCCGTGCCTGGTTTTATTATGCTAACGTACTCAGAAGAACGATGGCCACGGGAGGGGAGAGCCCCGTGCCTGGCACAACCCCGCCGGGCACGCACCGCTCAGCCTTCGGGAGGCACGGGCCTGGCGCAGCACCGAGCGCTTCTGCCGCTCCTGAGATGAGAAAGCTCCTCTCTCCTTCCTGCCCTCAGCACGTCCATACCCACGTGCGTCTCCCCACCGTCGCACCTCTTTCCCGTTGCCGGCCCTGCTGCCGCTCGGCGCCGCCTCTGCGGGCTTTCCTGCGGGGCGTGGCGGGGCGGGCGGAAGTGGCTGCGGCGGCGGGCGGAAGTACCGGGGGCGTGGGTGCGCGCGTGGATCCGGCGGTGCCGCAGCCATGGCGGAGCGCGTTGAGCAGCGGCTGGAGGACCGCGTGCCGGAGCTGGAGCAGTTGGAGCGGGTCGGCCTCTTCACGCACGAGGAGATCAGGTGGGGCGGCCCCCGGGCCGGTGGGGGCGGCCCTGTGCTGAGGTCCCGGTGCTGATGGCCCGATGTCTTCTTTCGTGCAGGGCTGTCCTGAAGAAGGCCACGGCTCTGGAGTACAAAATACAGCGGAGAGCCCTTCGGAAGGAGGATTTTATCAATTATATTCAGGTTGGCCGTGCTGATTAGCGGTACTAACCGCATAGATCTCTCTCTGTTAGGAGTTCCGTAGTTGTCTGTGTAAGAAACCTGCTGCTTGTGCGTGTCCTTGCTTCGCTGGTAGTCTTTACTCGTGAGTGATCTGTTAGGATACGAGGCAATGGTTTTAAGCTAAAAGAGGTTACGTTTAGGCCAGATATCTGAAAGACATTGTTTACTCGGATGTTGATGAGGCTCTGGCACTGCCCAGAGGTGCCCGAGGCCATGGCTGGGCCCTGAGCTGGGGGGGGGGGGACCCAGCCCACGGTGGGGGTGGTACTTAAGGTCCATTCTAACCCAAACCATGGTGGGCTGATTTTATAAGCACAGGTTAGGCATGAAGCTTAGACAGCAGTTTGGAGCTTTTGGGGACAAGAGAAACTTTATTCTCATAAGGACTCTTTTCTGTAGTTCCTTTCCTCTCTGGGGATATAAAGACTTCAGTTTTCTGACATGCTGTGCAAGTTGTTTTTCCATGCAACTCATTTTTTGTAGTGTAAAGAATCTGGAACATGCATTAAAATTCTAGGAATATGTGGGTGAGGGCTGAAATACCACATGCAATAAAAATGCTAAAACTTAATTTTAGTCATCCTTAGAAAAATAGTGATTTGCTCACAAAACTGTTCCTTGTGGTTTCCTGGATGTAACTTCTATTATCTGTGCGACCAGCTGTAAAACACTTCATCTTTGTTGTTATTTTTTTCTTTATTATTATACATCTTTTCATTTGCCTTTAAATGTGTTTTTTTCTCCCCACTCTAGTATGAAATTAATCTGCTGGAACTGATCAAGAAAAGAAGAGCGGTACGTTTGCCAGTTTTTGCAAGTGCAATCACTGTGCACTACATTTTCTTGTGCAGTGAAAGTAATACTTCTTTTCTCCCAGCGCACCGGGTACTCATTTAAGAAGGATGAAATTGAGAGCTCTATTATGCATAGAGTCCACAGCCTCTTCAAACGTGCCACAGGAAAATGGAAAGTAAGTTTGTTTCTTTTGTTTGTAGCAGCAGCTTGGAAAATAATCTTTCGGTATGTTGTGATGTAAAAATTAACCTAGATATCTCTGCTAATAGATATTTTCAGTTATGCAGAGAAGTGTAACAGAAAATCTAAGCAGAAATTTGGACACGTAGCAGTGACACAGAAGTAGGTCATTCGTGTCAGATTTTATTATTATTTTTAGAGAAACAATATTTTGTTTTCTGAATCATTACTTATCATCTGTCTTGAGTCATATGTTGCCATGTGAGTTTTGTGCATCTGCTTGCAAGGATTAGAAATGAAAAGAACTCTCCTTTACTTTGGGCAGAGATTGTCTTGATAGCTCTTGTGGTAAAACCTATGTGAGGTACATAAGAAATCATTTTAGTGAGTTCTCTGTTGAGTCAAGCATAATACAGATGTTACTGCAGAGGCAGCAGGAGTGTATGTATTAGGATGGAGAGATGGTTTTCTTCAGACATTTTGCAGGAATGTGGATATCGGAAAAAAGTGAATTTTGGAATAAAAATTCCTCCTTTCTTCATGCCAAGAGTACATACCAAGTGCATATTGTTTGCTTGTCAGTGTGCAAGAGTGCTTTAGTACATATTCTAAGTTTCATTCTCTCCCACTTGCATTTCCACTAGGAAGATGTCCAGCTTTGGCTGTCACACGTTGCATTTTGCAAGCAGTGGGTGAGTTTTCAAAATCCTGTTCTTACTGATTGAAGATACGGAGTTGCTGGTCAGGCAGGCATCTGGAACTTGTATTGTAAGGCAGGGGAACAGATTGTACTGCAACATGAGTATCATAACATAACCTTTTGGCTTGAAAGCATTAATTTGTTTTGTGGAATGAATGAATTGCCTGCCTGTGAACTGTGATTTTTGTTTCAAATGTTTCTTATAGTGATTGTGCTGAAAAGGAATTGTGGCAGTCTAGTACTCTCTAAAGTTCTCTGTGCAAGTCTTCATGTTGTTCCCAGCATCCAGTTGTTATCCTTCTTGTACTGAAGGAGATGATCTCAGCGTAGTAATAAAAATGACTGAAGAAAAATGCAGTCTTTACCTTAGAAGTGGTCAGTGAGATTTGTAATATAGACAACATCGGTGTTAGCTGTCCAGGTGCAGAAGAGTTAACTGTGCTCGTGAGGCTGGTAACAATTGAAAGCTGGTTGATACTGAATAAGTGCCAAAAACTTTGATCTAAAGTTAAAGTAGGAGAGAAACATCTTTTCCAGTATGATTGCATGGTAACTTATGAGTGTTCTTAGTGAAATTTCAGTCCTGTTGGTTTAGTTTGATTCTACAGATGGTAAAACAAAGCTATTTCTTTTACAGAATGCAAAACATCAGCTTAGCAAGGTGTTTTCTACCATGTTGGCCATTCATCCCAATAAACCAGGTAAACAAAACAAAGCTGAGCACTGTGTATATAACTCAGTATAGGCTGAAGAGTGGTGTTTTGAGTTCTTATAGAATCCAATTCCAGCTGTTGCCTCGCTGCTTCATCAGAAAGGATGCCTCTGACAGGTTGTGCTGAGCAATCAAAAGGTGATGTGATGAGGGAGTCCACTGCTTTGAATGACCATTTCCCACATAGACTGGGGGCTAGATAAACATTTCAGAGGCAGATGTTAAATACTAGTGGCTGATTTTGTGAATTGAAGACGTAATTTTACATTGTTGGATCTATAGCTGTGCTGGATTAAACTTCCCGAATCTGCTTGGCTTCTAGTCATATTTAACTTGGTCTCACTCTGGGGATGATCAGTTGTATTTCATAGCTGAGCTCATGCGTGTGGGGTAAGTACAGTGACAGGAACATCCTGGAGAGCAGTTTCAGAATGGATTCTCATGAGCAGACACTTGCTTAGCCTTCAAATGAATTGACATCTTCTGTTACAGCACTGTGGATTATGGCAGCAAAATGGGAAATGGAAACACGCCTCTCCTCAGAGAGTGCTAGGCACTTGTTCCTGCGTGCTTTGCGCTTCCATCCAGAGTGTCCAAAACTTTACCAAGAGGTAACTTTGTGGTTTACTTATGAGAACTTGTTTGAGCAGTCAGAGCAAACCAGTCCAGCAGATTTCTGAGATCGGTCTGGCAAAAGCTCAGATTGATGTGGTTTAAAGAATGCCTTGAAGGTGGGCATTTCTGAATGTGTGACCCTTGTGCCTATAAGCACAGATCTGTAAAAGCTGAGGCTCACAGACGTGTGATGTGTTGGCTGAGTCCTGTAGCTCCTCAGGCAGACCTTCCTTTTCCTCATGTTTGTGAACTGAATATATTTATGCTTGACCCACCCTCCCTTCCCATCACTTAATTGTATCTTCTTTCTTGCAGTATTTCAGAATGGAACTGATGAATGCAGAAAAGCAGAGAAAGGAAAAGAAAGAACTTGAACGAGCAAAGATGAACTTGGTAGGTCGTGTAGATTTACTCTGAAATATTCTCTGCTTGTGTATCACACATTTTCAAGTTGAACTTCAAGGGGTTTCTATTAATGATTCTCTTGAGGACTGCTTAGGGAGTTTTTGTTCGTGCTCTGTAGCTATGCTAAACTTCCCAGGTGTTGTCTGATGCTGAATTTAAATACTTCAATTTTTCTTGATGTTTCTAAGATCTTTTGTTAATATCAGTTTGAAAGTTAGTTGCCATTTCTGGAAAGTAATACTGAAATATTATTTCATTATAGTTAGCTTGTGGAAACAAGGTTAAGATAAATTTAGATGAAGCATAATTACCATTTTCTGGTATTTTTCTATGTTTGCAAAAACGATAGCTGAACAAGGAAAACTTGCAACAATGCTATGTTGATATTACAGGAGGAATTCAATTATTCTGAGAAGATTCTTAATGGGGAAATGGCTCACATAATCTACAGGGATGCTGTTCAGAAAATTAAAGGTGATCTAGCATTTCTTTTACTTGGGAGCAAAACTGTCACATTTAGGTCACCTGGTTTTCTCAAAGATAAATTAGGAAGCTACAAGATGATGGATTATAATGCATTGACAGCGTGTGCAGTTTTCAATAGGCCTGACTCGTGTAGAGCCATTCTGTGTTTCTGTGAAAGAACTGAATGAGTGAGTGGTGGGGGTGGAACCAAGTTTGAAGGCTGTGTAAGCATGTCAGTAGACAGGACTGGTTTAGCACTTCTTAGCCTGCAATGCGCCTGCCTGAGGACTTTTTTTTTTGTCACTGTCTAGCATGAAATCTTGAAGCATGTAGCCAGGCAGTTGACATCCTAACATATGGCTTACCATATGGGTTGAATGCTGAGGCTTACAGAAAAGAGTATCTGTCTGGACACTTGAATAATATCTGTGTCTTGAAAAAGGCTGTCAGGGATACAGAAATGCAAAGTGTGTGATGGGATGTGATGCTGTACTTGATACGTTTCTTTTCCCTCTTGGTCTGTAGGTGTTGAGTTCCGTCTGGCTCTGCTTTCTATTGCAAAGCTCTTTGATTTTACACACGATTTGCAGAAAGAAATTCTTGAAAGGTGAGAGGTTTTTTCAATAAGCGCTCTCTTAACTTCCCTAATTTGTAGTGAGGTGAGAGGTTAATGACTGAAGTCTGTTCC